TTTGTAAGTCTGTTATACGTTCTCTTGTATGTTCAGAAGAACTTCTTGATAATAGCTTGACCTTCATGATATATTAATTTGTAGAAATTGGGAAATAAAAAAGAATTTTTTTCATAAAAAAATTTTTTCTTTATTTTTATTATGGAATCTAATAAAGATATTATGATAAATGGGATTTATAAACAAATAAATCAACTTGAACTTATTTTAACCCAAATTAAAGATTCTGGATCGAATCAAACCCCATCCAGATCCGAAAAAACCTCTATAAAGGAACTAAGAAACACTATCAATAAACTCGAAATCCAAATCTTACACTTATCAAAAGCTTATGACCGCCAATCCGAACTAATAAAAAAACTACAAGAAACAAAGTAACAAAAACCTTGCGTTAACAACAGTATCCATACAAACTAGGTTTATTTATAACAGTCCAAATAAATTCTTTGATTTCTAAAACAATAAATATATCAATTTCTAAAAAAATAACATGCTCTTCTAACATTTATTCATCATTATCATCACCAACTGTTTGCTCTGGTTCTTCGATACCATCTCTATTTAAATTTGTTTCCATATCAAACCCGCCAGTTTCATCATCATTCTGTTGGTTAATTATTTCGGGTTCATCGTTTTCAATATTATTTTGTTGTTTACGAGGACTGTAAAGGTTGAAGGGCGAGTTGGTGTATTGTTGATATTGTGATTTTTGTGATGGGGAAAGCAACAAGTCAATGTTTTGTGAGTAACTTTGATGGTTTATTAAAGGACCTACCCATTCCCAAGTTCTCATGGGTTGTCCACGAACTATTGTAGTTTTAGATCGAATATTTGTGTTCTTTTCAACAATAACAACCACTTTTTGCCAAATTCGTTGCCGAGTTTTTATATCATAATAATTCTTTTTAGATCCACCAAATATTCTTAAAATCATTTTCCATACACTCCCTATAAACGATACCACAGATAATATAATACGAATTACACTTCTCCATGAAAAACCCCCTTGGTTTTCTCCAACAAAATTTCCCAAATTTTCACCATTTTCAACAATATCTTTTGTAGAATCTAAAGATTTCTTATTCGATATTTCCTTCTTTTCTTGCTCTGATTTCTCATCAAAATTAAATTCTTCACTAAACAATAATAAATCTCTTAATTGTGTTGATGGAATTTGTGCCAATTCTGAAGATTCAGTCCCACTAATTTTTACTTGATAAGCAGCAAATTCAAGTTTCTCCAATGTAATATTCACCAGTTTGTTAGCAAGTACTTTTTCTTCAAAGTGACGTTTAATATACATCCTTATAGTATGAAATCCAACAAATACAAAGAACATAATCAACAAAAGTCTCAAATATTCCCTAATCAACACAATTATAAATAGTTTGATTCTACAGCCCAGAGGATAGACAGGGTTTTTTGAAACCAGCCATAATGTACCCGGATTTGTGTCTACTTCATAACTAGCATAGCTTTTATGTTCATTTTCTGGTTCATCAAATGTATGGCTGGACCCATCATCATCGAGTTTAGTTTGCACTGATCCTTTTTTTGTAACATCAACATATTCTAATCTCGATATTGAAACATCATTATAGTATTCTTCAGCAATTTTATATATTGCTAAATCAAAAAGACGGTCAAATTCCGATTCATGCATCTTTAAATTTTTAAAAACCAATTTTTTGAGTTTGTCGTTAGAAAGTCCAAATTTTTTAATTTTAGCTGCTATTTGTGAATTTAACTCAAAATCGATATCATTCATAGAAACCAGTATTTTTCTGTTCGTTTTATCATCAAACTTTTCCAAATTACGATCAGTACTTTTTTCTTGTCTATTTGATTTCTGTTTCTCAGTTTTTTTGGATTGTTTTTCATCTAAAACACGCTTCACCTGTGTAAATATTGATTCTGAACATTCCACATTGCCTCTATGAACTTGCAACACCTTAGTTGCTTGATTGACAATTTTATGTACTTTAATAATCATATCCAAATCTGCAACGCAGGTTGGTTGAAGAGGATATAACCTTGTTGAAAATCTATTGTTTGCTATTATATATCCCGAATCGCATTCCATTACTACATCACCATCACTTTGCTTCTGAAAATTGTAAGTTTCATCATAGGTGTATCCGTAATTACCGCTTTCCTTGTGGTTTAAATTATTTTCCTTGTTGCGCCAATTCCCAAAAAGCGAATATTTTTCAGGTGAAATACATACTTTTTGTTTATTAGACAAATTTGAATTCCCCAAAAAGCACTTGTAAGGAACTGGCATATACATATTACATGTGGCATGCTTTGGACAAAGTAGCCCTTTAGGTTCACTAACCAACTTTTCAAACGAAAAGTTTAAATATTTTTTTACTTTTTCAGTAAAATCATCAGATACTTCAGGAAGTTGTGAAAAACTTGTAGCTTGAATTGATTTTCCATGTCGTGTTTGCACAAAACCATTTTTGAACCTCAGTTGTTGACATATCACAAGGAATACAAGATATATACCAAACAAAAGAAAAAGCATTTTATAAATAGAGGATTTCTTTGAAACAAAAATATTCTCAAGATACTTTTGTATTTTCTCTGTTTCTTTATATGCTTTTGTGTATACACTATCAGAAATATTATCAGTTTCTTTTATCCTTGACCCATCAGATCCAAATCGATTTCCTTTAAATTTGGATTTATCCTGTTTTCCAGTACTGTAATCATTTTGTTTGGTTTCAAAAGTGTTTTGACGGCCTTTGGTTTTTCTAAAAAGACGTTTTTCAATTTTTGATGTGTTTCTTTCCATATTTTCTGGATTGTGGTTTTCATATTTGTTTTGTAGGAGTAATGACTTTCTATCAGTACCATTAGATAGCATTCCCTCTATTTCATTGTCAATCATGTCAGATCTTGTTTTGCTTGGATATTTTTTATCGTTAAAGCCATTTGAATAATTGAGGTCCCTATTTTTAGATAGATCAAGCTTATACTGATTATTGTCATTCAAATCTGTTTTAGAGTCATATCCATCTATAGTGTCATTATTTTGAAATTCTTGATTTTCTACTGCATCATCAATAAATTCCAAATGGTCAAAAGTTGTATTTCGTCTTGCTGATGAGCTCTTTTTTTCGGTTGTTGGGTGTGTTATAAATCTGGACTGAATTCTGGCCGAAGCAGCAGCTTTCCTTCTGTTAATAATGTCTCTTTGTTCATAAAGCCTTTTCAAGGCTTCTGTGTTTCCTGTAGTTTCATAGTATTCTATCAGTTCGCTAACTGTAGGGGAATTATATAAACGATCAATACGCATCTGGGAGTTTAAGAAAGACTGAGAGTAGTTGGGAATTATTGTACTTTTTCTATGTTTTGGGGGAGTTTTGAAAGCAGTTTCGAAAACATTCAAGGAATGACGTTTTTCTAGGGACGAGGCTTTTCGTTTTGAGACTGATGGAGAGGGTAAATCTTGGTGTGTTTGTGTATCTGAATTTTGTGTTGTGCTACTCTGTTGTTTTATCTTGTCCAATCGCCGATTTTTTTTAGGGATTTCGGAGGTTTCTTCTAGTTTTCTCTTAAGTTTCAAATCTTTAGATAAGTCTTTACTATCAAAAGGGTTTGTATTATCAAGGAGAGCTTTGGGATCTGGTATGTCTTCTTTCCGGATAGATTTATGAAAAGAATGAAGTTGTTGGTTGTCAGTTATCTGTTTTGTTTTTATGTGAGGTTCGTGTTCATGAGGGGTTATTCTATCTTTAGAATTTTTAGATTTATCAGGTGATTTGGTTTCTGAGAGTATATTGGATGGAACTTTTTCTGGTTTTATTTGAATTTTTTCAAAGCGTTGAATGTTGCTGATATCCTTCATTTCTGGAGAGTTCTTAAGAGATGGTTGTTGAGAAGGTATATTTTTAGTGCTCGATTTACTTTTTTTCTTTTTCTTTTTAATTGGCTTTTTCACACTATCTGGTCCAGATTGGAATGGGTTGTCTTCAGAAAAGAATGATTGTTTCTTGATAGTTTTTTCATTCTCATTGGTATCTCCTTTTATAGCTTGTATATTATTAGCACTTGTTTGGTCATGTTTTATTCTTGAATCTTGAGAGATTGAGATGTTCGTTTCTTTTCCATTATATTTTGAATCTTTAGGAGTGTCGGATGAATTTCGGTCTGAATCTGAATCTTCAGCTTTTCTTTTTCTAATAAGTCGAGATGATTCTACTTTGATAGTTGTATCTCTGTTTTTTAAGTTATTATTGGTATCAATCATTTGCAATTGTGTTTTTTGTTTTGATGCCAAATCTTGATTGGTTTCTTTTGCAGTAGCTAGAATATCAAGATCTTTCTTTTGAGTTTCATTTTGAGTTTTGTTTATACTCTATATAAATATTATGATTTTAGGTTCGGATAAGGGGAAAGTTTTAGGAATTTTAATACAAGATTTATTTTTAACATTAGTTAGAATTTACCTTTGGTTTTTCATTTGAATTTAGTAGATGAGAAGAATATAAATCCACTAGTTCGTTTTTCTTTGGGTTTCGGGGATATGGAATACCAGCTTTGTCTAGAGCTGATTTCAAATCAATGATCCTTAGTTTTTTTATTTCGTCCAAATTGAGGTCATCCATTTTATTTAAATGAAGGTTTTCATTCTAAAAGCGAAATTAAATGTGAAAAAAATATCAAGGTACAAACAATAAAAGAAGGGGCGATTAGAATTAGAAAAAATACTTTGCAATTTTGATTTACAGAGAAAAATTATAAACAATTTTTATTCGCTTAGAATTTAAAGGTAAACAGTAGCTAATAAATGTAGATGAATGGATTTTTGCATATTGGGTTCAAGAAAACAGTCACATGATATCTGATATGAAATATTTCGAGTAAACAAGACATTTGTAAATAAAGGAACAAAGAAAAAGTGTTAAGAAATGTTTAATTACTTTGCTGAGTTTATAAAAAATTGTGAATTTTTAGTGGTTTGGAAGCATTTCTTTCAACAAATAAATTATGGGGAACTAGCTCAAATGGTAGAGCGGGCGCTTCGCATGCGTCAGGCACCGGGATCAATGCCCGGGTTCTCCATTTTGGAAATTGTTTTTTGTTTATTCAAATTGAACAATCTATTAATATTTTATTTCAGCAACTCTTTAGTTTGATACAGCCAAAATGAAATGCATTTTTTTCCTTCTAATTTCATTTTCAACCTTTCAAGAAAAACTCTTTACAATAGAATTTCTTTCTTGATAAATCTCGTAAAAAGGGGCAATTTCATTCCATTCTTTTTGGTGTTGTTTAATCAAGATAAGATCTGATAGATACTATTTCCATAGCTTTAACAATTGTGTCAAAACGTCCTTGTATTTGATGATACTACTTTCGTTACAACTCGTTATTAGATAATGTAATATTAATTGGTTTTTGTAACTAATGTTATCAATTTATGCTTGTTTCATTTATTTCCCCTTAATTTCAGGGGATTTGCTATTTTGCACAGAGCACAAAAGTAAAATGTATAAATAAACTCACTCTTCCCTTATATTTCATATACATAGCTTTTTTATTTTTTGTACAATGATTCGCAACTCTTTCCTATCTCTAAAGTCAAAAGCTGTCTTTGGTACAAGGTATCTATTTTATTCTACCATCTATTACCACTTTCTAACTTTTGATTCAGAGGCTTGGTTACTGTCCCAAAAATAGGTTCCACTGCCAAAATCCTCATCAATGGTGAATTTATCGATTCACAAGCTGATACTTTCTTTGATGTTATCAATCCAGTAAGTCTCCATTATTTTACCATCTTGTGTGATTTGTCCCGATTACTCATTTTTTATTAGGCTACTCAAGAAGTTCAATCCAAAGTTCCACAATGTACTCCACAAGAGTTGAAAGAAGCAGTCAAGAGTGCTGAACATGCTTTTAAACAATGGAAAAAAACATCTGTCATCACACGCCATGGTGTTATGCTTAGATTCCAGCAATTGATTCATGAAAATTTGGTAGGTATTGTCTTTTATAAATCTAAAATCTAATTTTTCTTTTTTAGGAAACTATTGCCAAAAATATTGTTTCCGAACAAGGAAAAGTTCTTGTTGATGCAAGAGGCGATGTTATTCGTGGTCTTCAAGTCGTTGAAAATTTGGGTGGACTTCCAGACTATATGCTTGGAACTAGACTCGAAGTAAGTAGGGATATGGACACTTACACTATCCGTGAACCTCTAGGTGTTGTTGGTGGAATCTGCCCATTCAATTTCCCCGCTATGATCCCTCTATGGATGTTCCCTGTTGCCTTGGCTACAGGAAATACTGTTGTTTTGAAACCATCCGAAAGAGATCCAGGTGCTGCTCTTATGCTTGCTGAACTTGCTATGGAAGCTGGTGTTCCAAAAGGTGCACTAAACATTATTCATGGTGGAAGACCAACTGTTGATTTCATGATTGAAGATCCTGCTATCAAAGCAATCTCATTTGTTGGTGGTGATGCTGCAGGAAAAGCAATTTACACTGGAGCAACTGCACATGGAAAACGTGTCCAATGCAACAATGGTGCAAAGAACCACGGCGTTATTCTCCCTGATGCCAATATGGAACACACTATAAACTCACTTGTAGGTGCTGCTTTTGGTGCTGCTGGCCAAAGATGTATGGCACTAAGTACTGCCGTTTTTGTTGGTAAATCTCAAGACTGGATTGGCGAAATAGTTTCAAGAGCTTCAAAACTTAAAGTCGGAAGTGGTTTCGTTGAAACTACTGATGTCGGCCCTCTAACTACAAAAGGTGCTTTGGCTCGTGCTGAAGGTTTAATCCAGAGTGCTGCTGACGAAGGAGCCACAATATTGCTTGACGGAAGAAACCCAACAATTGAAGATTACCCCAATGGTAACTTCTTGGCACCAACCATCATTGACAACGTAAAACCACACATGCAGTGCTACCAACAAGAAATATTCGCTCCAGTATTAGTTATTTTGAGAGCAGATACACTTGATGAAGCAATCGAGATAGTAAATAATAACAGATATGGAAATGGAACTGCCATTTTCACCCAGTCTGGATCAAGCGCTCGTAAATTCCAAGATCAAATCCAAGCAGGTAACGTTGGTATTAACGTCCCAATTCCAGTACCTCTCCCAATGTTTTCATTCACTGGAAACAAGGCTTCGTTTATGGGTGACACCAACTTTTATGGAAGATCTGGAATCTCATTCTACACTCAACTGAAAACCGTAACTAGTTTGTGGCGCCAAGAAGATTCAGGTCACAGCAATGCAGCAGTCAACATGCCAGTTATTAAATAAGTATTTGATTATAGTCTTTCAAATATATAAATCAAATCTAATTTTACAAATTTTTTAGTTTGAATATAAAATTGGATTAGTTATTAAAATCTTTATTTAAATCTTATTTGACTCGATTCAAGCAAAGAGTATGGCGAGCTCAAGACAAATATCAAATCATCGGAGTAAACTCATGACACTAAATAAGGAACATTTTTCAATTCCAAACTGAAATATTCTTATTTAACACATTTGAAGTGATAAAGAATAGAATATGTTTATTAATCCCAAGGAAGCTATACTACCCAAATATCAAACAAAGAAAATATAAACTCTGATTTCTAGAAATTTTTGATAGACTTTTTATTTTAATAAAAGACAGAAAAAAAACTCGACTCATAAAACTATCAAAAAATACAATTTTTAATTTGTAAATATTGGAAAAATACTAAAAAGAATCAAGAATTTGAACAATATTGATTCAAAACTTTTTAATCATCAATATCGTTGTTTTCTTGATCGTCAATATCGCTGTCTTTTTTGTGATTATTCAACAAACTGATGATACTATCAAAAATATTTGCGAAAGCATCTGTAACTGCTTGCTGAATCAAGAAATCCTCACTTTCTGTTGAAAAGCCTATTTTTTTGCCTTTGCCAAGACCATGATTACGTTTATGTATATTTTTACGATTCTTTGGAACACTCTTTTTCCCTTTAATACCTTTTTTCCCCCCTTTGTTACCTTTTTTTTTCACTTTGTTTTTTTTATTTAATATATCAGTTTGAG